TTTATTAATTATTAATTATATTATCATAATTTTTATTATAAACTTTTAAAACTATGCTATAATTTCTTTTAATTTGCTTATCATTTTTCTTTTATTTACTTTTTTTATTACGATCCTAATATTTTTTATTATTATTTTATTATTTATCTTATTCTTCTTGTTTATTTTATATTTTATGTTCATTCTATGATGTAAACAGCTTAGTCGCATCAAATGACTAAGCATCTGCTGAAAATTTTACCGATCATTTTCATATTAAATTCGTAATTTCATTAGTCAAAACTTCAACACGTGATCAATTATAATCACGTAATAGCAATTAAATCGCGTCATTTGACATCATTCGCAAACTTTTTTTAATGTTCTTTTTTTATTTCAATTTAACAGAATTATAATGCCAAAAGTAAATAAATGTACTAAACAGTCTCAGGAAGCTATTAAACAATGCTAAAAGCAAAAAAAAAGCTCTGAAAAAATTGTGTTTGAGCTATCAGATACTAAATCTGATGAATTTGATGAATCATGGTTTAGTAATTTTTGGATAGAAGGTAAAAAATACGTTTCGATAATGATGAATTTATGAATAAAATGCAAGCATGAAAACTAAATATGCTATAATAACTGGTTGAAAATGCTAAGTCACATAAATGGGCTGTAGATTCATGTAGGCCAGTATACAAAGATGATGCAGAATCAACATTGCGTAATAAGAGAGCTTATTGGAAAAAAGCAGCTTTAGGTTCTAAAAAGATTACTGAAATGTTTATAATAAATGAAACTGCTGAACCTAATGTAGATAATAATAATCTTACATTTGATATTAGTAGTGATGATGATGATGATGATAAATTCTTATTAGAATCTCTGGATTTATTATTAAAAAAAAACGATTTACAGCTTTAGATGGTAAGTCAATTCCTTCATCTAGTCCGAGATCAAGGATATACAAAGATGGATGTAAGTAACCTGCTTGCCTAAAGCTTAAATAAAGGTCTATAGCAAGCACGACTTATCCACTTCTAGGCTAATCAATGGTTTAGTAACAGTATGATCATTACATCTAAACGTGGATATCATGCAAAAGTTAGATCTTTTCTTTTACATGAAGATATTAAATTGCAGGTCACTGAATATCTACGCGTATATAAATTTAAATTAAATATTGCTGACTTTGTAAAGTTTATTGAGAATGAGGTTATTCCTGCTCTTGGAATAAAAGAAAAAACAAGTATTTCATACTCAACTGCACGTAAATGGTTGCATATACTTAGTTGGGAATATAAAGACTATTCAAAAAATATTTATTTTGATGGTCACAAGCGTGAAGATATAGTAGCATATAGACAACAATTTTTGTGACAATAGGCAGAATTACGAAAGTAAATAGCTTCTTATGAAAGTAAGAAATTACATCAGGTAATCTCACCTGTTCTTTCACATGATATTTCTGAGATTGTCCTCATTACCCATGATGAGTCGATCTTTTATGCCAATGATGATATTGTTAAAGCTTGAAATCCAGCAGATAAAAGTCAAATTCGTCATAAATTGCAAGGTCTTAGCATTCACATAAGTGACTTTCTTTATGAATCTATTGAGCAACTCCAGCTTTTAAAAGAGGAATGTACTATCAACGATTCACTTCTTGATGATGAGTGACTTATATACACTAAAGCTTATGTTATAATGTATCCCAGTATAAGTTATGATAGTTGGTAGATAAATAAGGATGTTGTTAAACAGGTAAAAGAACGAGCAATCCCAATATTCGAACGTACTCACTTAGAAAAAGTTGCCCTATTTTTGTTCAATAACAGTTGCAATCACAATGCATTTGCTGATGATGTATTAATAGTTTTGAGGATGAACTTGAAAGATGGTAGAAAACAACCACTTCTTCATGATGGTAAAATACCTGATAGATCGCTTCACATCATAACATTTATAGATATTAATGAGACAGTAAAATCTAAAGGTATCTGACGAGTTCTTGAGAAGCATAGTTTATGAATGTCAGGTTTAAAAAGGAAATGCAATGCGTGTACACAACATAATTCTGATTTAGATAAACTTAACTGTTGCATAACACGTCTCCTTTCTTCCCAGCCTAACTTTGCATCATAAAGGATACATCTATAAAAGGTAAATTGCAATTAATTATATATGTATTTATTTATTTCAATATTCAAATATAATTAAAAAATACTTATCTTTTTAGGTTATTGAAAAGTAGGATATATGTGTATATTCTATCTGAAATTCCACTAAGAGCTTAATTATATTGAGTTCTTTTAGGCAGAAATAAAGCGGTATTCACGTCTTTATTGCAATTATTTGTTCAATAACCTTAAGGAAGTTGTATCGCATGTATTAGATTTAATTAGCCTAATAAAAATTCGCCAATTTGCACATCATTTTGTATGTTACATAAGTGCTTATAAGCTTAGACTTTCAGGTAAGACAGCTTTTTTAAAAAGCTAAATAAAAAAATATTTGTTAAATATTTAAAATAAATTTAAATTAAACAATTTTTTATTAATAAATTATAAACCTGTAAAAATTTTTGTATATCTTTAATATAGTCTTATTTATCATTTGAAAGAATATATTTATTAAGGTCTTTATTAGCTAATGCTATATTATGAAGATGTTTTTGCAGTTAAATAATATCGCTCTTATCATCAGGTTCCTGAAAACGTTTTAGAAGAATTCAGAGATATGTAAAAATAAAGTTTTAAGCTGCGATTAGCCAATCATATCCTATCATATATTTTATACAAACCAATAATATTTCAAGCACGTAATAATGTAGATGCTGAAAATTCCGCTATTACTATTAAAGTTAATGTTAAATAAAACCTAACTACAAAAAATTTTTATAATAAATTGAATTAAAACTATATATTATATTAAAGATCATATCAAGTTTTATTAAATAACGTATTATTTTTTAATATTTTTATAATTAAAAAAAAATTCTTTACATTTTAAAATTACTGAAAATTATTGGATGTGACTAAGCTATTTGCATCATAAATATCAAATCATTTTCTATCTTAATTTTATTGTAAACTCAATTATATTAAGAACTTTAAAATACAGCCAAGAATTTAGTCAATCAAATTGTAATTATTTATAAACAGAATTACAAAAAATTGTTTTATTAGCTTTTACTTCTTTTTCACTTATAACTATTTGTCAATATATAGGTTGATTGCTAAGAAAATCAGGTTCTGGAAATTTTTTAACAAATTTGAGACTTTTATTACATTTTAGTTTTTGATGTTATTAGATTAAAATGTATTAAGCTCTTAATTCAAGTCAAAAATTTCTCAGAACATGATTTTCCTAGAAACCCTCCTATATAATAAAGATATTTCACTATATAAATGTATACAAAAAAAGGTCTAACTAATCAAATAGCAGAATTTGCAGTTAAAAAATATCGCTTATATTATCAAGTTCTTAATTTAGTTTTATAAACAGTTATTATTTAGCAGACTATAAGCAAAAAGAAAAATAAAAAAATTAGTAATATATAAAATTTGTACATATTAATAAAAATAATTAAAATAAAATACTTATCTTTTAAAAAACTTTCTAAAAATCTAAATCTATTAAAAAAGATCATTAAATCATTTTTATAAGATTGTGGCTTTTGATCAGTATTATAGAAATAAAAATTAATTAATCAAAAGTAGAAAATTTGATCATATTGTCATCATGAAATTCTTCAACTCAGGTTAGTCATGTTATTAAGTCTCTACTCAAAATTTCTAACTGCAGTTTACTGTGACTAAGACATTAGAATCTACCTAATTCTTAATTTTACCAAATTTACACGTTAAACTTAAACAAATTTATTAAGTATGAAGATCTGAAAGACAAAATTATAAATAATTTAATTAAAGAATTCAGATGACAAACTCAATTATAAATAATATATAAGGATCATGTCAGACTATATGAAGACATGAAAAGTCAGAAAGATATAAGTTTTGAATGATTTCTTTATTAATATCGAAACTCATATTTGCAAGAAAATTAATTTACAATATAAGCAAAAAGTCTATCTATTTATACAAAATTTCTTTTATTACAGCTAACTAATTACTATGCTATAAACTAACTAATTTAATAAAATAAAATATAAGTAAAATAAATATATTGAGAATAATAAAAATACGTAAAATAATAAATATATAAAATATAACAAAAATAACAATAAAATTTAGAATATTAAAAATAAGCATAACACTAAATATTCTTAGACTTCATTTAATTTATAAAATTAGGATTATCATTAGTATTTGAAAGATCTTTAAAATTACGTAGATCCTCTGTATTTTCAGAATTCTGGATTAGGAGATCGTTATACTGCATCATCCATGTGATTTCATTATGACTGATCAATTGCTCTATTGATAATATAAATTATGTATGAAGTGATCAAATTTTCTGATTTAATAATAAAATAACCTCACTTTAAATTGCTACTATTTTATTGAAAATAGTTTTATTAGAGTTTTAAAAATAGTTTTGTTAAGCTTAAGTTATTCTATTATTTTATGATTAATTATAATTATATTTTATGATTATCATTTTTTTAAGTGAGAAGTAGCAATTTGAATTTTATTAATTTTATTAGTTGGAATTAAATTGTATACATTATATAAAGCCAATGCTATTCTTAATATATAATATTGATAAGATAAAGAATATAAAAAAATAATTTATTGTATAATAAATATGATTGGTTATTATTATTATTTATAAGTACAGTTTAGCTAACTGTATAAAGTTTATATATTTACCTTTATAAAGTTGGTCTAAGATAATCTGAGATGATTTGAGATAATTATTCAAATTTTTAGTAAGTAATCAAAACATTTTAAGAAAATAAATATGATTATTAATTTTTTATTTAAAGATAAACTTTATTGAATCTTTAATGGTAAAAAGAAAAAAAAGTAGATATATAAAAAATAATAATCTTATATATGTCAATATTGTTACTTAGTATCTCTTCATAAAATTATAATTTATATATTATTTTAAAATTAACATATTTGCAAATTATATGATTACTATAATCAAAATTGTATATTTAATAATAAAGTAATAAGTGAATGAAACTTGTGTATTTTAATAAGCAAACAAAATTAATTTGAAAGTGATTAATAATATTTATGAAAAAGGATCAGTGCTTACATAAGTTGTATATAATAATTTAAGTTACATATTATATTATAAAATAAGTAACTTTTAATATTAAATAGTATAAAAAATAAATATTTATGATGTTTTAATATATCTGTTTATAATAGGGATGTTAAGCGGTCCTTAACCGGTCCTTACAATTTAAGAGATTACTAACTCGAGAAGTCTAATCACTTATCTATAATAAGTCAAATTTTTATAATTAATTTGTAAAAGTGAAAATGATATTCAAAATTGGGCAATTTTTGATGGGATCGCTAAGTATAGGACCGGTCCTTGGGACCCGATCCTAAGTCCTTAAATTTTAAATTTTAAGAAATTCTGGGATTCCAAGAGGGGTTATTATATATTTCATTTAGTAGCTCATTAAAACATTATAATGACGAAGTTTCATAATAAATTTGTAAATATAATTCTTTTGTCATTTTCTTGGGACTTTTAGGACCGCTTAGGATCGCTTTAACATCCCTGGTTTATAATACTAGATTAACTTTTTTCTAATGAATATAATAAAGAATTACCAGCAAATATTAGTAAACTTTTTATCTGAATTAATTAATTAATAACAAGTAAATCTTTATATCAATCATTACTAAAAAACTTTCATAATCTTTATTCATCATAGATTATTTATTTTAAGATAAGATAACAATATACCTAATATTTTTATTACAACAAATACTCCGCGATAAAGTAATACAAGCTTCACATGTTTTATACACTAACTTATTTAGACTAGATAGGCAATTTGATGACAGAAACTTGCATCATTTAAACATTTCGGCTAAACTGATACAAATTAAGAACAGATTTGTGACAATCACCTGTAACCTTATTAATCTCCAAAGCGAATGAATTTTAAAAGTTTATTGCGCTAACCCAATAAAGAAATACATTGATTTATCCGCGGGAAATTTTTATCCATAAAAACCTGTTCAATACTTTAAACCTTAAAACCTTATTCCTTCATTTTTATGTAAAAATATCTATACTGTATATATTTTCTTTACATATATTTTACAGTATATTTATAATGGAATCACCATATCAAGAAGAAAATGTCGCTTTATTATCAGATACGGATACGGTTTTCAATACAACCTCAAATTCCAGTATTAGCCCTACAGAAATTAATATATTGAATGGTCATGAAGAAGCTAATTTTGATATCACCGATCATTCAAATTATGGATGGTTTGGTAGGTTTCGTAGGTCAACTACTGCTGTTATGATTGTAGCGGCAATGGCTCTTTTCACGTAAGTATAACTAAACTAAATAAAGACCGTAAAGTTTTTTAATGTATGCTTCAATTGTATAAATATATATATTTTTTTGCTGTACTCACATTAGTGATATGATCGTGTACGGGATCGTTTTACCTATCTTACCACTTATCGTCCATGAAAGACTTGGACGTGATTCTAAATCTATTGGATTTCTATTCGGTTGTTATGGTAATTAAGATCGTTATAAGGATATTTAATAATTTTAATGAATTCGATCAGTTTTTTATTAACATAACTTTTATGTTAGCTATTGGATTGTTAACTGCTACTCCCATTTTTGCTGTGTTTAGTGATAAATACCATACCAGAAAGGTAAAACTATCACTATTCCGTTCATTTAAATAAAGGTTTGATCTATTTACCAAAATTTTCATTCTTTTTTTTTTTAAATAAAAAAAAAAAGGTTCCAATGTTATTTGGTATGGCATGCCTTGCGATTTGTTCATTATTATTTGGAATAGCTGATAAATATTGGCAACTGGTTTTCGCTCGAATCGCACAAGGTGCAGCCGGTGGTGCATCATGGTAACTTTTATTTTTTATATTTTCACTTTTATTCTTTCAATATTATTTGACTCCAACATACAAATATAGGACATTGAGTTTGGCTATGTTAGCAGATAGGTTTGGATCAGGACCAAAACTTGGTGTAGTTATGGGAACAGTCTTATCAGCAAATACGTTAGGAGCAATAATTGGACCTTTAGTTGGAGGAGTACTTTTTCAATATTGGGGTTATGGGGCACCATTTATATTTTGTGCATCGTTGGCATTTTGTGGTTTCTTGACTATCTTAATGATTGTTGAACCTTTAGATTTAAAATCATCCGGATTAGATATAACGGCAAATCAACCTGTTGATGAAAATTCTATCATTGACGAAGATTTAAATAATATGAATCAAGAATTTTCTACAAAATCTCCTTCTATTTTAAATTTCATTTTAGATTGGAATATAATTACGATTTGTTTTTCTATTATTGTTGTTGGTAGTGTATTAGCCGGTATGTATCGAAGAAAAAGTTTTCTCTTTTTTTTTTTTTTTTTCATCATCTCTTTTTGAATTTTTAGGAATTGAACCAATTCTACCAATTTATCTTCGAGGAAAATTTGATGCAGATGCGTCACAAATTGGATTAATATTTATTGCAATAGCGATACCTACATTTTTATCACCAGCGGTAGGATATGTATCATTTTATTTGGGACAAAGAAAAACGTGCGGTATCGGTATAATATTATTAGGTGTCGCGACACCATTAATTTCTTTACCAAACAACTTATGGATGGTATGGTTACCATTATTATTTTTTGGTGCTGCTTTTTCTATAGCAACAACGCCGTCATTACCATTACTTGGACATTATGTTGCGCAAAAAGGTGGGGGTGCTTATGGTCAAGTATATGCTTTATGGAACATGGCATATTCCATTGGAATGTTTGTTGGACCAGTTATTAGTGGTTTGTTAGTTGAATCATTTGAATTTCAAAATACACTTACAATATTCGGTATTACTGCTTTGGCTACTGCGCCTTTTGTTTTTGGAAAAAGAAGCGGTAGAAGGTTTGAGCAGGTTCCTACTGACGAGTTCGTTGATGTGGCGTAGGATAGCTTTTGATAAATCTAGTAATATAAATTTAGTTAGTGTGTGTGACAGTATTGCAGCCAATCAGTATTATTATTTATTATATAAATATTATAAAAAATTTATAACATTATTCACTCACTCTTTCTTTAAAAATAAAAAAGGTAGTATATAGACACAGGAATAGTATTTTATATTTATATTTATATATATATATATATGACTTTTATTTTATTTTAAATTGAAATTGGATAAGTAGACTTTACGAAAAATAAACGTTAAGCAATAATGGATCCTTACGCGCCTTTATTACATCATCATAAGTATTTTTTAAATCGTTGCAAATTGAATTTTTTTTAAATTATTTATTTCATTTCTTTATTTATTTATTTATTTTTTTTTTGATGAAATACTTCAGAGATTAAATGAAGAGATGAAAAAATTATCCGACATACATTCCAAATTATTAATTAGAAATCAAGTACTTGTTGAATTTGCTAATAGGAAAGAAAGAGAAAAAAGAAAATTGGTGGAATAGATAATAAATATTATGTTTAAAAGATTTGCTCTAAATGTAAATTGAAGAGAGAAATTGATATAAATCAGACTGAATAGAATATAACTATCGACTCGTTTATTACAAGACTTTATGCAAAGTGTTTACAAATTACAATATTACATAGCAAGTATTTATTTATAACATAACTTAGAATGTTTTTATATAATAATAAAAATAATTATTTGTTGAATTGTTTCTATGAAGATAATTCTACTTGTTATTTTGAATAACAACTAAACTCATAACCTGATTCTGAAAAGAATAAAAAAAAAGGGAAAAGAGAAAAAATAAAAATAAAAAAGTGTTGAATAATAATACCGTGTTAATCATCGTCCTTCACACCACTCATTTTCTCTTCTGACTTGTTCTTCTTCTTCAGGGGTAAAATCGTTTGCAATATTAAATGTCTTACGAATTTCTTCAGGAGATTTTCCTTTAATCATATTGGCAACAGTTTTACAGGTAAGATCAAGAAGAGGTTTGATATCAAGATAGTTGGAAGCCTTAAAAATAAATGAATGAATTTTAACGTTTATATAATTAACTTGGTTCAAGCTTAATGTTATTTTGACATATTAAACCAAATAGCACTTCGCGGGATCAGATTAGGTTTTCATTTTCATAAAATATCAATTTGCTAGCAATCGGTCAGGAAGCAAAGGGCATATATTACTAGTTACTGCCATGCGGAAGTGATATCATCTATACGTATGTAATACACGAAAAATATTTTATTTACCAAAATCAATTCATATAACGTTCCTTGATCCACTTTGCAGAATTCTGCATCCCAATCATCGATATCATCGGTCTTTTTTGTATCATCATCATGAGCTGGAACTGGATCATCACGATGGTGTATACAATATTCGATTACTTTTTGGAGAATAGGCCCAGTAACATTTGGAAGAGGTATTGCTATTAATAAAAACATTAATGAAAAGAAAAAAAAAAATTAATGAACTCTAATAGAATTATTTAAAGAATTGGCAGGGAAAAAGTTGACCTTCAAAGGTAAGAGAAAGTGACAAACAATTAAGAATTCGCATCACTACTTACCCATATCACTTTCACCTACATCTTCCAACATATTTTTTAATAATACTGATTTCTCTGCAACGTCTCTTTCAACTTTAAATTCCGTCCCCTCAGAAGACGTTAACTTAACGTTTCTTTGTTCAGGTGCTCCTGTCATACTTTAATATTTGTTAAAAAAGACGAACGAAATTTAAAAATGTTTTGAAATTGCAGGTTTTTATACAGATATCAATCATCACGAGATAATCACGAGAGCCGGATTTTTCAAACGTCGTCACATGTCATTAGGAATTCTGATCATCTGATGGTGAATTGTTAAATAAATTAACTAATGAAATAGAAATGCATGAAAGTTTAGAGTCGACTTTTGTTTGACTTCATCGATCTGGTGAGTGAGTCCATCTTCGTTCTCAGGCGTAAAGTTTATATCTTCGCTGAGAACCTCTTTAAGTATTAGTGTTTAAGAAAAAACTCAGTTAGCTATTAAAAGGCATTATTTGCTTGTTTGAAACTTTTTTTTTTTTTTAAGGAATAAACTCAAGGCCCACATAAATTTCTCAGTAAGAAACTGTACTTGTTAAAAAACATACATATCCAAAAATAATCTATTTTATTGTTCAAAAACTTTAGTTGAATTTTGCTTCGTTATTTATCGAAAAACTTTACTATATCTGATAAACTTTCTAGTTAAAAAACTGATATCATTAAAAAACTAATTTACAACTTCGAACTAGTTTCTGTTATTTTCTTCGTTTCCCCTTTCTATTTATAAACATTCCTTCCTTTACATGATGCATAAACCTTCGATTTTTGACAAACCATCTACCTTCAAGATAAAAAAAAAAACAAAAAAAAAAAAAAACTGAAAAGCAACACACAAAGCATGAATCTCACCAATTTTTCACTCTTTTTTGACCTTTGGAATCGTTCTTTATTATTTTTTTTTTTGTGTAGAACAAAGATACATTTTTGTTCTATAACAATTCCTTACCACCCTTTTATCGAAATTTAGAAGTCAAAACGCTCTAATCACAAACAACCGTCACGTAAGATGAATTCTAAACGTCGAGTGGATCATTCTGATGACGAAGGTCTTCATCATAGTCGTGATAAATTCACACGCGAACGTAGAAGCAGTGTTGATCGTAGAGATGTCCGTGACCGTGACCGCGAAAGAGACCGTGAAAGGGATCGTGACCCTCGCGATCGCGAAAGAGATAGGGATCGTGGCAATTATATACGCAAAAGAGGGAGTAATTCTCCCGAAGATCGAGGTAACGGTAATTTCTCAATTTTTTTTAACGGGAAAATATATAACAACTAATAAATTGATATTAAAATTGTTATCTAGATCGTCGTTTGAAGAGGAGGCGCTCGATTTCTCCAAGGCAGTCATCGGATGGTGGCGATCATTATATTCCTAATTATGATAAGGACGGATATACACCTGCCCCCAGGTATGTTGGAAGGCCAGGAGAGATTCGTTTCCCACACCCATCTGGATTTCAAGTAATGCCAATGGGTAAGCTTTTATCAGTTATAAAATACGTCAACTATTATTATTTAGTTTTCTAAAATTGTTGAAACATACAGGGTTTGGTGTTGGACCTAATCCTCAAATGTTACCTCCTGGTGCACCGATGATGCCAATGGATTGGACAGGTCCAAGGTAAGATTAAAAGTGATTAAATTAGTGGGTTTTCTCTTTTAAATACAAATTTGTTATTTTTAGGCAAGAAGCACCAAAAGATCCTGATCAACTGGATTTCTTGGTAACATTCAAATACTATTCTGAATTTATGCAGCATTCGAATCCAAAAAATCGCCTTTCTGATGAGGAGTTGCATAAAAAATATAATGAGTATAAGGAAGCTTTTGCTCTTAAGCAATTGAAAACTTTTTTTGAAGCACATAAAAAAGAAGAATGGTTCCTCGAAAAATACCATCCAAAATACATAGAAGAAAGAGCCGTTGTAACGAAAGAATTGAAAAAGAATTTGCATAAGAAATTTATTTCGGACTTGAAAGATGGTTTACTTGATGGAATTAACAATGATGTATATGAAGACAATAAGGAGGATTCCAAGCAAGAAGGTTTAATATTTTTATTTTATTTTGTACTTTTTAAAAAAAAAAAATTTTTTTTTCATTTATTAATTTTTTTAATATTAACAGATGGTATAAAAATTGATTCTAAAGATCCAGATGAAGATTCAAATCGACTTTTCATTAAAAGCGTTTCACCAAATATTCCAAGACAAAAAATTGAGGAAGTATGTAAAATTTATATTGCATATTAAGATTGTTAATTTATGAACTGACCAGCTCTCATGTATATATGAAAAAGATGTGCAAGACAATTGAAGGATTTCAATATCTCGCATTATCCGAACCTAATCCTCAGAAAAAGTTTCATCGTTTGGGCTGGATTGTCTTCAAAGAAGGAACCGATATGGACAATGCGTATGAAAAGCTTAATGAACAAAAGGTATACCGCACGTCTTTAAATTTCTTTATAGAAACATTATTAAAATTCTCATTATATTTTCAATAGATTGATGAGTTTGTCTTTTACCTTGCTCGTCATAAAAATCAAACCGGACCTGTACGCAACAGAATTACTCCTGACATTGCTTGTAATAGCGACCGGTTAAAAAAAGATTTGATTCAAATTCAAAAGCTTTGTGATAAGTTGGATAAGGATGTTGATATTAGAGGAAGCGAAGAAATTAAATCAAGATTTGTTGTCAATGTTGACGATCTTCAAGAACGCGAAGAATTGAGCAAAGTAATTAAAAAATTTTTTTTTCATCTGATTGAATAAGTCTTTTAACTTTTGAAATTCAAATAATTTAGGTAAAAAGAGCATTGGATATTCACATTGAATATTTGCGTCGTACACATCTGTTTTGTTACTACTGTGGTAGTGAATCCGATTCTATTGAAGAACTTGCAAGAAAGTGTCCTGGCCGTCACCTTAGAGGTGTTGCAGGTAGCGAGGGAAAGACTTCAGTCAACAAGAACAAAGAGAAACAAGTTAACTGTAAGTGACTTATTTGTTACTTGATTCACATGCGTTTGTTTGATAAGTAATAACTTTACCTTTTTTCATTATATTTATAAAGCTTCCCAATGGCTAAAGACCTTGGATCATAAGATAGCTTACAAAACTGAACCCTGGAAATTTGAAAGTGAAGTTGAGAAACATGGTGGAACTAGTCTCAAAAAGTAAATTATTTTCTTTTTTTTTTTAAAAAAAAAAAAAGTTAAATTTATTTATCTATTTAATTTTATTTACATCATTTTTTTTTCCACGCCCTCTTTCCTCCAGAGTTTTAGAAAAGTTTTATCAAGAAAATGTTATTGAAGTAGACCCTCAACGTAAATTTAAATGTAAACTTTGTGGTAAATTATTCAAGGGAGCCGATTTTGTTAAAAAGCATATCGATTATAAACATCATAACGCTGTTGAAAACACTACAGATGACGTAAGTTCGGATGATGTAAGTTCTTAATTTAATTATCAAACATCCTTATCGATTATGTACTAAATATCCTATATATTTGGGTAGACAAAATTCTTCAATAATTACGTGCTTGATCCCAATCATCTTCTTCCAACCACACCACCTAATCCGACTGCTGCGTTGAACGTTCCTCCGAATGTAACTCCTATTCCAACTAATCCTTTCCCAGTTATTCCCAATGCTCCACCACCACCATTCATTGGATTTAATTTTCCGATCGTTGGCGCTGCTGCTGGAACACCTCACGATCAAATTCCAAGAATTGGTTTCGATGCAAGAGAAGATCGTGGACAAAAAAATAATCGAAAACCGTTATCTCGAACGAGACCAAAGTAAGTAAAATACATTATAAGTTTTTTATGATAATTTTTAAGATTTCTCACATGATATATATATATTTTTTTACAGTGAAAGTTCTGATCCACGTCAAGTAAAATCTTATGTTGATTTGGATGCGCCTGCTGAAGGTGACATTGAAATTAAATATTAAAGAACAAACACTATTGAAAAATAATGAACCGTTTTTGTTCATTGTTTATTGAACCTGTTATTATATTGGATTGAATATTTAATTAATGAATTGTCATTATCAGAATCTTCAAATGTTGAATATTATAGAATTTATATCTACAATTTTATTTTCCTTTTTTTTTTTAAGCCTTGATTGATTGATTTGATATTTGCAACGACGACAGTAAAAATATATCATGTTTGACGATAATTAATGACAATATATGTTGAACCTGTTTACTTGTTTAAATAAAGAATTGTTAAATCTTTTGTAAAGGTGGTATTTATTTCAGAATTATAGTAAAATAGAATTGGCCTAGGGGTGTTTATACATAAAAAAATAAAAATAAAACTACACTCATTTGATTGGAGTATTTATTATACACTTAAACAACTTTGCCTACGATATTATAAATTTTACTAAAACGATTAAACCAATCATCCAAAACCTTTAACTGGTAAATAAAAAAAAAAAATTAAATTAACTTACAGGTTAAAAATTAAACCGTTATCATTGTTTTATAGACTTACTTGAGATTCATCTAATGTACTATAATCTGCAACAGCGTCTTCTAAATTCAATGAACTCATACCAAGACCCTATTTAATCATCATGATTATTATTATTATTATTATTTAAAAAAAAAAAAAAAAAAAAAAATTGAATTTTAATATGCATACCCTTGAGGCATCTTTTCCTGCAAATACATGATAACTACCATTTGGTCCATAAAGGTTGCGTTTTTCACTAACATCAAATACTGTGCCTTTAACAGCAAGGTAAACTGGAGCAGATGAATCTGAACCGTCAAACTATTAAAGTATATTATTATTTTGCCTTTGGAATCAAATTTGAATTTTTATTTAGAAAATCTGTAGTTAAATTACCTTTGCAAGTTCTGCTGGTGTGAACGGAGTATCTTTGGGCGGGTCCAATACTTTAGAAGGTGCCTCTGATGGTTTTTGACTAGTAAATAAATGTATTAATAATATACAATTTTAGAACTTGAAATTAAATACTTTTTTTAAAAAAAGTATTTTACCTCATTTTCGTTAAATTTTCGAATGAAGGGATAAAATTGATAAATTGATAATGAAACTTGTTATTTATTACAACACGAATGATGAAAAATTATCCAATCAGGATTGCATAATTTAGTAATCAAACAATCAGATCAAGATCAGTAATTCAATAATAGAAATTTAATGAACAAATTAAGTAGTTAAAAAAAAAAAATCTTTATTTGAAGACAAAATTAAATTGCTTTATATGAAAAAAAAAAAAAAAAAAAAAAAAAGGGTTTCTCATTATATAAAATCTCCGCTACACAAAAAATTAAAAGGCCTATCGTTCAAACATATTAAATTATTTACATTAAAAAGCTAATATACCCCAAACTTGAAATATTTCAAGAACCTTTAAAAAGAAAGAAAAAGAAAAACGCCTTTTCATGATTAATTATTTACATTAAAAATACGCAGAAGAATTAAAGCAATTTTGAAAATAAATTTTTACTAAATCGGACAAATTTTTTAAAAACATTACCAAATAAGAAAGCTAAATAAAATAAATAAGAATGATTAATTATAGTTAAAATTTTAATTAATAAGAAGTGTTAAGAAGTGTTAAGCTTACCGTTATCATCACTTTCCCCTGCTTGATGTTTAATAGTTGATAAATCTTTTTCGGCTTTATAAAGTAAAGTGATTGATGATAGCTCCGGTTTAATAATTGATGTTGATGTTGATACATTGTGAGAAATGAAAATTGAAGCTTCAGGGTTATTAAGTGATTTCTGTAATGGAAAACGTTTATTTTTTAATGTGGTATACACTAGACTATTTTGTTCTTTTAGAATAAAGGTGGAAGTTTGTGCAAAAGTTTCGTTTTGAACAGAAATAAGACTAGGAGGTTGTAGTGGGACGACTCTTTTTTTGAATAAATTGTATCTCGACTTGCGAACCGGGATAAGTGATTTTTTGATTGAAGTAATGGTCGAAATACGAGATAGAGTTTCATCTTTTTTAATGGCATCAAAAGTTAAAACGCGTGCTTTAGCATCATCACCTTTAATTGCATTAAAAGATGAAATGTGCACTTGATTATTCTTTTTGACTGAAACGCATGCCCTAACATCCTTCTTTTTAATCGTTGAAGTGCAGGTCCTAATATGGGTCGAGGTGGTCCTAATATGAGTCGAAGTACATGTCCTGATATGAATTGAAGTACGTGTTTTGATGTCTGTTTTTTTGGTCGAATTGATGATTGCAACCTTTGCTTTTTTGGTTGAGATAGGTACCGGAATTTTTGATTTTCCAAATAAAGTAGTAGGTTTGTCGAGTGATTTCTCTTGTCGTGGTACAACCTTTTTTGCTGCTTTGATATGTGGTATATGAGAACTTGTGTTTTTTGTTGTTGGTTTACAATAGTTAACAGGAGCAAACAGGGTCTTATCTTTCTTCAAATTAAGATGCTTGATACTATTAACACGAGAAAGAGCGAGCTTTTCACTTTCATTATCAGGCTGTTTAGCAACACGTGGAATAAAAGATTTTCCGGCTTTTTGCCGTTTAGAATATGTATAGTTAACGGGAACGCTGGGAATATGAGACTTTCTATCTTTTGCATGTTTAAAATTATTATCAGTAACTTGAGAAAATTCCATTGTTAGAAGAAGGTTATTTTTATCAAGAAAAAAAAAAAAAATTTTTTTTTTTATTCGAGGTTGGTTCAGAAATTATTAGAGAAAAGAAAGAAAAAAAAAAGATATTTCGTGGGAATCAAGTTGTGAAAAAAAAAAGGGGTGGGTTGATAATAGCTTTAATTTATACTTAGAAAAGCCCTTTGAAAAAAGCCTCGATAAGTGATTTTATTTATTGACCTGATTAATCTTGATTGATACATAAAAATAACAATATAAAATAGCAACATAAAAAAATAAAAAAAAAAATTTTGGAATCTTAACCCCGAAGCACATTTTCAAATACCTAGAAACTTTATTTCTTATTGTTTTGCAGTATTTTACTTTTGATTGTTTGTTTTACCTTTAAAAATTATTGAAATGAGATATTTCGTACTACAACCAAAAGCTGATAATAAGGTATTAAAAATGAGTTTGATTGCCATATTTCACTGTACTTACAGAACGTGGAAGAACAAGCATTATTATTGTAAAAGGCAAATTAAGTATAAGAATAACTCTATAAAAGTGAACAACTTGCACTTCCTGCATATTTCTTAGATAACGAAGATCATTTTAGGTGAGATTTGATTATATTAAAAATAATAATGAAGTCATCCAATCAGGCCAATCAGGCAGTTCATACAAGTTCATACTCAACACATCGATATCAAAGTCGAACTATAATTTAACGCACAGTATATTCCTTTCACGGAGATTTTTTGTTGCTTCCGTTATATCGAAAAAATATCCATTACTAGACTTATTGATGTAAAAAAAAGGAATTTCTAATAGAATTTTGGTTAGATCTGGAGTTCGATATAATAAAGATACATCATGCAGATGAGAAATTTCTTTCCTGTGCACATTTAAACCTTGTTTTTTAATCAATTAAATTATTTAAAAAAAAAAAAGCTTGGGGGAGAGATTGATAAAGAAAAATCAATCCTGAAATCATTCCTGAATTCGTACCGGATATTAAATGTTTCGATGATAATATCTGAGAAACTAATGTGTGATTTTTTGAATGCATGTTACGTGACCTTTATCCAATTAAGAGTAATTATTAAAAATTCATGTATAAATTAAAAGTACATACATGTATAATAAATAGAATTAATATATTTTAACAATGATTATATTATTTTATTAAAGGTTTATAAGATTAAAATTACAACAAAAAGGATTCGTTTTTATTATTTTAAGAATTTATTTTAAACGAATTAAAATTATTAAAATCTTTTTATTAAATAAAATATTATTTATTAAATTATATATCTTAAAAATAATATTTATTTAATTAAAAAATAAAATTTCATATTTTTAGTTTTGTTTTATTATGATTAAGTTTTTAAAAAAATTTTTAATTTTTTTTTGATTTTATTAAATTTAAGAGATTAAAAAGATTAAAATAATCAAGATAGTTATGATAAATTCTTGAAAAGGTTAAAAAGGTTAAAATTGAATTTTTAAGAAAAAATATTAATTAAAATTAAATGAAATTATTATTAAATTATTTTTTTTACTAACTATTCAATTATTTTTATTATTAAATCTTTTATTATTTCAATTATTTTATAATTATTTATAAAATTAAATTATTTAATTTATTATTAAAAAATAAATATATTTTTTTTAATATATAAATTCTTTTAATAAAAATAATTTAAATAAACTTAAACATTAAAGAAATGCTATATAGAAAGATTGCTAAGAAAATCAGGTTCTAAGAAATTTTTGATTAAAATTAAGAGCTTAATACATTTTAATCTAATAACATCAAAAAACTAAAATGCAATAAAAATCTCAATTTTGTTAAAAAATTCTCAAAATCTGATTTTTCTAACAATCAATCTATATTCTTTATAACTTAATTAAAATAATATTAAAAATAATTAAAATAAAAAAAATTAAAAGTTATTAAAATTTTTTATAATATCTTTTAAATAGTAAAGATTTTAATTATAATTTTATAATTTATTATCATATAAAAATTTACATAATAAAACTTATAAAATTTTTTATTTTTAAATTTTTAATAAAAACAATTAGTATAAAATATTTATAAAGTTAGTTAATAATAGAAACTTAAATTTTAACTTTATAAAGAATTAAAAAATTAAAATATTTTTGATTTTAAATTTATATAAAAAGTTATTAATTAATATAAATTTTTAATTTTATTTAAAAAATATTATTTTACTTTAATTAATATTGATCTTATTATAATTAAAATTTATTTATTAGACTAATTATTTTATAACTAATAAAATTAGTAATATAAATAATAAAATATTAAATTGTATCTTTTAATTTACATGTAATTATTTTTAATATATAAATAATTAATTTTTATATATGTAATATTATTTTATATTATTATTATTTTTTCATTATATTAATTATAGAATTATAAGAAAAATTTAATTAAATAAAAATATTATATAAATAATATTTTAATTTTAAATACTAATTCTAATCAAATCAATAATAGTATAGTAGTAAATATTATAAATATTAAATAATTTTACTAATAAATTCAAATATATATTTTATATATTAATTTAAAATTTGATTTTAATATCAAATATAATATCAGAAGTTTTAACTTAACAATATTTCAAATTTTTTTGTGAATTTATATCATGTAATTAGTAATTGACCAATGAAAAATAAAATATTAAATATTTTTTTTGTATATTATTTTATAATTATAATAATTTAAGCTGAAATTATGATTAATTAACATGATGCTAGCTCAAATTTCAATCAATAATATATGTTTCAAATTCAGAATGATCATATGAAAATTATTCAATTTTAAATAATAGTAACTTTTTATATAAAACTTATTTTAAAATACTAACTGGTAATTTAATAGAGTTAATCTCAAAGAATAAAGTTACCAGTTTATTTTTTTTAAATTTTTATTTTTTTAAAAAGTTTTTTTAAGTATTATATTTATGTTATTGTTATTAAATATAAACTTTTTACATTATATAATAATAAGATATAAATATTATTATAAAAATTATTAAAAAATATATATTATATAATAATTAAAAATATTAAATTATTATTTTATATTTAATTATAATTTAAAAAAAAATTAATTTACAAATTAATAAAAACAATAATAATAAAAATACAGTGATTTTTAAAAGTAAATAATAATTGTAATATTAATTATAAAATATATATTATAATTATATAATCTATATAAAATGTATCATTTATTTTATATATACAGTCAACTCTTAATATCGCAAATTCTTGATATAATAAATTTTTTGAACAAATATAATTAAAATACTTTTGTTATAATGAATTGGTTAATCAATCTCTTAAAATCTTTATTATAGCCTTATAGTAAAATTAAAATCTAAAATATAGAGTTTATTATAACAAGAATTGACTTTATTATATACTATCTCTTAATAAAATTATTTCTAAAATATTAGAAAACTTAAAATATTTTGATCTAAATAATTATAAAAAAATGAAATAAAATTTTTAGATTTATTACATTATGATATATCTAATTTGAATTTTTAAAATTAGTAATTATCAATATATATTAATTTTTTAATTTTTAAAAATAATGTATTATTTAATAATTACAAAAATATAAAATTTAATTTATTGAATTTATCATATTAAAACTTATTAAATAATAGTATTTTTATATTTCTGAGATTAATAGATAGTAAGATATACAAGTTTAAAATTTTAATTTTTTTTATAATAAATTATTATTTATTTATTTTTTAAAAAATCATTAATTAATTACATTTTTTACTTAGAAAATATTATAAAATTTATTACAAAATTATTAATTTTTTTAATAATATATTTTAAAATATTTAAAATAATTAAAAAAATTACAATTAATAAATAAAATTACCTATAAATTTATAAGAAAAACAATAGAAGAAATAAGATAATTATAATACATTAATTTTAGTAATATTTAATAAACAAGTTTTATTTTATTATTTAATGTTTATTAAAATTATAGATAGTTATTTTTATCATATTTATATATATAATAAAACTTGATTTTTATTTTAAAAAAATTAAATAAAATATTATTAAAAAATTTATAAAACATTTTTATCATTATATATAACTACCTTTAGTATTAATAACATCTTAGATTTTTTTTTAACATTATTTTTATTAATTTAATATATATATTTAATGCTGTATTATTTTAAATTTGAGATACATATTTTTATAATACATTTTTTTCTTTAATCTTGATATTAATATCCTAATCAATATCATTTCAAAGATATTTTATTAGATTTAGATTAGGTAATTATAGTGGTTATAATAAAACTTCAACATTATTTTTCTCAAACTATTGTTTTATAAGTATAATGAAGATTTTTTGCAGCAGTATTTCTAATATCTTCAAATATATTATTTTTTACAAAGGTTATTAAAACACTTGATATTTTTATTGTAATACTTAACATAATAACTGACATAAAAATATGTTTATAAATCAATTTATAATGTAAATAATATATATTAAATAATCAGCAATTATGTGAAATTATATTAATTTACTTTTATAATATGAAAATACAACTTTTAATCATACATTAAAAAACTTTAATTATCTGAAAATAAATAATGTTATAATAAAATTATATTGCTTATTTTTGAAAGAATATAGTATTATTTATCTAAACTAAATATTTAAAATTGAATTTATCTGATTAATTTACTTTACTTTAATCATTTACTATTTAATCTTTAAATTCTTTAGCAAATTAAACTTCTTTTACAATATTTTTAGACAAAAGTAATTTTTTACACTTTATTCTAATTATTAAACTATTAATACAAACTTCAATTTTATTATTAATTTGTAAGGATTTTTTAATTAAACAAGTATTTAAATACTATTTATCATTAAATAACTTATATTAATATACTCATCTTTTTTATTTAACTTATATAATTAACCTAAATAA